CAGAGACATTGCCACTGCCGAGAGAGACTCCATTGGAATGAACAATGACGTTGCAGCTCGCCAACAAGAAGCCATCCTTGTATCGGGTTTGAGCTTAATGCTACATTTTTCGGCAAGCTAGTGGAGATGTACGCAGTGTTTTGATTTAGCCTAAACTTCCTCAGTAGCATCTAAATCAGCCATGTACTAACGGTGTTCACTCTCTCCACGCATGCATTCACTCACAAATTGAAAGCCAAATTGATGTTTGTTTTGCAAATGGTACGAACGCATTTTACTCTGTATAACTGAAATACTGTATTCCCACACTGACGGAATTCAGAAGATCTTCTGCGAAGAAAGGGGCGCGTCTCCTGGTATGGTATGCCAATCGCGGATTATTGTGGGCCTCCCTGTCACTGGTCGACCCTCCAGACTTTGTATATAAATTACTGAGTTCAGTGCTCTACCCGGCTTGTGTAAAAGCCCCCTTTAGAAGGTTTAATGTATTGCAGTGCTAGTAACATTATCGGCTTAGCAGCTTTACGACCTGCATCAGTCATGAGACATGCACACGTGAAAGTTTCACTGTTTTTACCAAGCATTTTTGTATGTTTCGAATCATGCTATTGCTTTGGGTTGAACGGCGCCTCTTTTCAACCTGGCACGACTGGCCGCCTGTAAGCAGTAGATTATTCCAAGTGTCTCCGCGCACCATCGCGTGTTGCGCCCAAAGCTACGCTACTTGTTGATACAAGATGCACATTTGATTGTCATCGTTTTGGCAGTCGATGCATAGTTGATTGACGTATTAAAGTCCGTCTGTTTGAAGCGATCATTTGTAAAGGGACAGGGCATCGATCGTGACGGAAACAGAACATCAGTCGCGACAGAGGCGAGACTTCAGTCGTGGCAGATACAGGGCTTCAGTTGTGGCTGGGCCAGAGCTTCAGTCGTAATAAAGACAGAGCTTCAGTTGTGGCAGGGAAGGAGCGCCAGCCGCGGCAAGGACTGTTAGGGCATGGACTGTTAGTCGTCATCCGGCTGTCATACCCTCAGCTGTGACTGGCACTGGCCACTGCATCAGTCGTGACCGACACAGCTCCGGGGCCTCAGCGGTGTTGTTGCTATGTTGCAGGCGTCACCAAAGCGGCGGTTCACTCGCCGTCGGTCGTCGGCGCGCCGAGCCAAAACAGTCAGTTCGTAGTCGTGTGATGTCCTGCTTGTCGATTAGTAACGCAGCACGGGTCCTGTGATGCACCCGCCGCTGGACACAGGCTTTTGGCACAGGCTTTTAGCACCAGCGCCCGCAGCTTGACGAAGCGCCCGCAGCTCCGACTGACACCCCGCTGCGGCGTTCGGTCTCTCAGCAGGCGGTGACGACGCTGTGAGCTGGTAAATTGGCGAGTGTCTGATTGTGATGCGGTGAAGTGTTGGCCATTAGCCGGCTGCCACCTGTCGGAGATCAGGTGAACACGGCCGCGGACAGCTGGAATACCGATCTGCGCGTGACGGCACATAGTCCGGCGCTAGAGATCAAGGCAGCTCGAATCGCTTTTGACCTAGGGTAGGAGTGAAAAATTCCATCGCGCTTTGCATTCCCCTTCCACGGGATGTTTCAACTCAAAACAAGGCAAAGGAATTCAACAACAAAAACAACAACCAAAAATTCAACAACAAAAACAACAACCAAAAATTCAACAAACATAAGGCATTCAAATAAAAAGCCATGGACACTTGCACATCAACACATCACCAAATCAAGTGCCACAGACATACCCCTGGCTTCTGTTAAAATAGGCTCAGGAAATGTAGATCATATATCACTGTTTCTTGCAAAATACCGATGTTGATTTTCATGAAAGTAACATAATTAAGCCTAACTTAAAGAAGTCTTACCTTATCTCATCTTGTCTAACCTATCTGTATCGCAGCAGCATTTGTGAGTCACTGATTCGTGCAAAATTCCTTCCTGCCACTTGCCATGCGATTCGCCAGCTTAGCCCAACTTAGAGTAGCCCATATGCTGAATATGACCTCAACTTTGATCGTCTATTTCATGGCGGCAGTACATCGGATAAAAACATGATAAAGCTTATTTTTGCCTTATTTCAACTTGTGTTTTGGCTCAATTCATTTGTGTCAGCTTGTTGACACAGGACAAATTTCACAACATACAAGCCCAAACCCCTCGAATCACTTTGAACAGCTTATTCCCACTATCATGGTTAGCCTCTGCCAAAGGCAATGGTAGGCACGCTCCACAACACAGTCTCTCTCCGCCAAACGTAACATGACTTGTAGATGACCACAAAATCGGTTTTGCTGCTTGCCTTTTCAGCTGCAGCAAAGGCATCCATTAAGGTTTGGTTATTCATGCCTAATGCCATAAAGCTTGCGACGTTGGTCTCTCTTTTGATATGGGATGGTCTATTTGCTAAAAACCAATATCTACCTCATATTTTGATTGCTTTGCAGCTCAAAGAATTCTTGTGTTCACACGCGCTCGGGCGGGGATCAAATTGACCCCCAAAGGTTTTTCCTGAATGGTTTCCGAACGGCGCGGTATAACCGCGCCAAACTTGGGCTAACTGTAGACAATTGAATAGCAAATCGTCTGACACGACCAATTTATATATATCTTATAAGGTCTCTGAACTATGGCAGGTCAAAGTTAGGCCATGATTTCAGCGAAGTCAATTTCTAGGGAATCGTTCAATCTGATGCAACAACAGAGTGCTAGATGAAGCCATACATCTCTGAGATGCTTTCTTGGGCAACTCAACAGTTTAATCAGCACATTACATTGACTTAGGGTCCGGTATGAATATCGGGACAAGGTCAAAACCAACCTGTTTTATTACTCTAGGGCTTGATGTATGGGGTAGTTTCTTGTCCTCATCACAAATTTATTAAAACCTGGAACCGCATTCTCCATCTTCCATGGACTTTTTGGAAGTTAGAATAGGTCATTGACCTAAAATGACACAGGTCAACATTTTGTTTTTAGGAATATGCCGCCTAGCGTAATCTTTGTCACTTATTTTAATGCAAAAGTCAGAGCAGTCTTGTATGATTTTGGTCACTGAACTTAAATGAGCATGTGACCTTTTGCTAAGAAACGGTAATCTGCGTTCTGGGGGGACTTTGGAGACCAACCTGGAATTCGATCCTGTTTGACCTTATTTAGCCCAAAGATCATAATCTAGGAACCTAAAACTTTGACCTAAGTGTGTTCACGTACAGGTCGATACAACCCCTGAATTTGGTGTCTCTGGCTCTCTTAGTTCCCGAGATCTCAGGGGGGCCAAACTGACCTCCCCCATCCGAGCGAAGGGTATACGGCCGGCCACCTGGGCGCGTGTTAAAAAATATAGTGCATATCTACAGTACAGTTATTTGCAGGCCAGCAACTATGATAACTGTGGACAGCAACTTGTAAAAACAGACATGAGGGACCACTTCAACAAATTTGTAGCAAATAGTCAAGCTGTGGAGCAAAATAGATTGATTTGTATTGTGGCATCATTATTTGTCTTATGACCAAAACTGGATGGATTTAAACAGCAAATAAATAAATCTGGTTGCAAATCGTGTGATAAAAGCAGGTAAGATTAGCAATTATTTGCTTCACAGGAGAAACCTACTGGCTTTTTAAAGTCAGGCTTTTTTCTGCCTCCCTCCCTCTCCATACAAAAAGTTAGTATCTTTCACATGGTTTGCTGACGTACAGGGTCATCTTACTCACCCATAAAATATAAATAGCGTGTTCACCGACCTACAAGATTAAAATGTGAAATGAGTAAGATGAGGTCTGCATGAGAAAATAGTTTAGAAACACATAATTTCGCTACCAAACACTTCTGTATTAGCTGCGCCAGGTCTGTCCCAAAGATATGTACGGCAGGAAAAGGTAACGTGGTGAGGTAGCGAAACTGATATGGCTTAGATTTATCATTGTTAAGCCCTACATGAAGCAAAAAAATGGCTGACTGGGCGTTTAACAGGGCAAAAATGGCGCTAAAATTAACTCCTGTGCTTTAAATTGTCTCCATTTCCTATTCACCATTGGCTGCATATCAGACATGTTTGGGCGGCTGGCGAATTAATCCAAGTTATGTAAAAAATATGTGCAAGTTCGTGGTTAAATTTGCAGTTAAAAGAACCTTGCAGAGAAATCGGTCGACATTCTAAGCCATAGATGGCCTGTTTAAAGATGACTGAAAAGGAAGAAAAAATGAAGTTATATCAAACTCGTATGAGACCACGAAAACGTTAAAAAAAATTAACAGGTATAGAGACTCAGAGTTGTTTGGACAATTTTGTAATCAACAAACTTGACCAAAAATATGGGAAGTGAGTGGTCACATGGTGATATTCAGCTTTTAGAGTTCATTTAGAAGGCAGTTCTTGAATTTTTCACTCCTGCATTTCGGGAGTGGTGCAATATCGTGGTTGAGTTTTTTTTTTGGTAGAAGAAATACGTGGAGCAAAATTCTCTGCTAGGCTTTGCTGGTGTTGGTACCAGGCTCTGCTTTGCGGGTGTGGTGTTTGCGCGATGTAACCCGAAAAATTGGGGATACGCGAAAATCTTGCATTTGGCACAGAGCTGAACATTGTGATGCATTTGTAAACGAACTAAACTTGGTATATGCACGCGGCTGGAGTCGCTGGGGCTCTCTGGCCTGGAGGTATCTGGCGACCTTGTTCTGTGCATGCCTTGGCATGATTCAGATGTGGGTGAGACAGGATGTAACCATAGGTGCCCACGTTCTGTGGAGCTTTGTTTATACTTGATGGTGTCGAGTGAGATCGGTTTTGGATGACATCTTAAATCTCTGAGAGGAAAATATGGGTTTGGTGTGTCTGGTTAGACAATATTACAAAGGAGTACAAAATTCACATAGAATGTGTGGAAACGGAGTGAAAATGCCTTCTCATAGAGTGTTGTTTTACACCCAAAGCTAGCAATTCTAGGGCACTGGATGGATAATACTTCTTTGAGGAAAGAGGTCATCTCTTCCACTAGATTTCTTAGGTGACGAAACCGCTTTCGGGAAATGATGTCTTGATGAGGGACCACAGCGTGGCAATCGGCAAAGAAAAGCAGTTAGTGTGCAGTGTATCAATGATCACTCAGGAAAAACAGCGTTCGAAGCCCGGTCAAAATTCACGCTCTAAATTGCATTGGGGTCCTCTGCTCTTCGCACAATAGCGGATAACTCCCTTGACTTGCGTCCTGTTTAAGAGTGCTGTAGCGTGATGCAAATGGGAACGGCCGATTCTCCCATAATGCCGGTCGAAAGAGTGCAACACATACGGCTCATATGGCTTCTACTCAAACGTCTTCCGGACATGTCCAGCTTCCTCCGCGTTAGGATCTCTTGGGCTACTTCTGAATTCACGCATAAGCTTCGGGGAGAGCGCACCATGGCCTGATCTGGATTCGAAACGTTCTTCGCGGAGAATGCGATGCCTCCCACCTCCTGCTGCGCCCGTCTCTGCTCAAGTGACCAGTACACAAAGCTTGTTCGAGGTGTGCCGGGCACGGGTGAACACCATAAGATCAAAGCGTTTTTTGTGAACGCCGAGGCTGTTAGACGAGTATAACGATAATGTCTGGTGATCAAAGCAACATTGTTTGTATCACTATCTCGTGGAGATCGATCGGTTTGCGAATCATTTCAATATCCTTAAAGCCCGGCAGTTGCGTACATCGCGTTTACTTCTATCCCAACGCGTTTGCTCTAATCGAACATTTTTCTTACAATGCAGCTGCTTTTTGTGTATGTTATGCATGCATTCATTGTTCCGTCTGCCTTAAGCCACTGACCTCGCCTCAAGCGGAGGGAACATTGTTGGCGATTAACGTAATACGCATAAGGACGTTAAGAATGAGCAACATTTGGCTGCCTGGAAAAATGTCGCTGTCACCTCCATGATTTGGGTTACAACATTTTGAGTTCGGTAAATGTATATATAACAGCCCAGAACAGTGATCCGTCCCTTTTGCAAAGTTCACTCCAGCATATATTGTATTGACACGTCATGGGTTTGTGTGCCCATAGTGAAACAGCACAAAAGGTCGTGGTGGATGCGCAGCTCTCATGTGGGCGTCTGCCGCGTTGTGATGCAAAAGAGCAGATGTGGCGAACCTCACCGCCCTTAATTATGTGTCAGCAGAGGCTAAATGTCACCCATCCCCGCTGGCGAGTTCCTGCGCACAACATACGCACATGGTCGCACTCAAATGTGTCAAACCCACTCACCTAGACGCACGGCAAATGGAGGTGACCTGCTTCGCTCGCAGAGGAACATCGCGCAATGCATGGCGTCTGCGGCTTTTCCTTCAGCAAGAACTGTCGCTCACGCATCAATGGGTTGTGTTCAGAGAAGTGTGCTGATCTAGGCGCAGACTGCATTATTCCAAGCGCCCGCAGCCACACAAAAGCATCGGGCTTTTGTGGCCGCTTCAGCTTCAGCAAGCAGCCGGTCAGCTTTTTCAGAACAATGCCGATATGATGATGTGGGGATGCGCCTCGTCCGTCGGCATGTCGTTGGTGAGACTTTGTGAGTCACCTTACCAACGATCGACTGCCCGGCATCAAATGGTGGCATGCTATCACTTGTGCCAAGCTCACTCCGCAGACTCGCATCAGGCTATGCAGAGATAGCTCGGCATCAAATGGTGGCACGCTATCACTTGTGCCAAGCTCACTCCGCAGACTCGCATCAGGCTATGCAGAGATAGCTCGGCATCAAATGGTGGCACGCTATCACTTGTGCCAAGCTCACTCCGCAGACTCGCATCAGGCTATGCAGAGATAGCTCGGCATCAAATGGTGGCACGCAATCACTTGTGCCAAGCTCACTCCGCAGACTCGCATCAAGCTATGCAGAGATAGCTCGGCATCAAATGGTGGCACGCTATCACTTGTGCCAAGCTCACTCCGCAGACTCGCATTCAAGCTATGCAGAGATAGCTCGGCATCAAATGGTGGCACGCTATCACTTGTGCCAAGCTCACTCCGCAGACTCGCATCAGGCTATGCAGAGATAGCGACAGAGCTACTGGACTCTGGCGAACATAACCTGCAATCAACCAACGACACTGTGGATGCTGATGGATGCTGACGTGCTGCTGAACGATCTGATAACGGCTATAGTTTGTGTGAGGGCTGGTGTTCAGTCCTTGAGTTCTGGCTTTAGCCCGTCTGACGTCGAGTCAGCGCGGGATGGCTCCAAACTTGTGACGGGAGGTGGTCAGACTGGCAGAGCTGGCTCCGCTGCCCCCGTCTGACGTCGAGTCAGCGCGGGATGGCTCCAAACTTGTGACGGGAGGTGGTCAGACTGGCAGAGCTGGCTCCGCTGCCCCCGTCTGACGTCAAGTCAGCGCGGGATGGCTCCAAACCTGTGACGGGAGGTGGTCAGACTGGCAGAGCTGGCTCCGCTGCCCCCGTCTGACGTCGAGTCAGCGCGGGATGGCTCCAAACTTGTGACGGGAGGTGGTCAGACTGGCGGAGCTGGCTCCGCTGCCCCCGTCTGACGTCGAGTCAGCGCGGGATGGCTCCAAACCTGTGACGGGAGGTGGTCAGACTGGCAGAGCTGGCTCCGCTGCCCCCGTCTGACGTCGAGTCAGCGCGGGATGGCTCCAAACCTGTGACGGGAGGTGGTCAGACTGGCAGAGCTGGCTCCGCTGCCCCCGTCTGACGTCGAGTCAGCGCGGGATGGCTCCAAACCTGTGACGGGAGGTGGTCAGACTGGCGGAGCTGGCTCCGCTGCCCCCGTCTGACGTCGAGTCAGCGCGGGATGGCTCCAAACTTGTGAGGGGGGGGGGGGGGGGGTCAGACTGGCGGAGCTGGCTCCGCTGCCCTTTTAATTGACTGACAAATTTAGGAAGTTGCTGTTCTTTAAAAGTAATGTAGACAGGGTACGACTGACTCGACGCTTGCCTTTTACGAGTGTCTTTTTGTTGTTTTTCAAGACAGTGATTTGGACGAGTGGGAAGATGCCGGATCTCATGGTGACGATGATTCGTATGTGTCCAGTTTTGAATAGCATTGGGGTGAGTTGGGTACCCGATGACCTATATTAACAACACCCCTTTCGATGTCGGCCTTCCACAACATCCCTGCCGTTGGCATTGTATGGGTGGCACCCTACAGATTCTCCGCAAGTCATAATTTGTTCTGAGCTTTGTTCTTTTTAGAAGCGCGGTTTGTGCGTATCTGGTCTTTTATATCCATGTGCCTCCGGCAAACTCTTTAACCATGAATCTCAATCACACAACCTGTTATCAAGTAGTGAATATATTATATTAACAAATGTTTGCACCCCAACACTTTCAAACAAATAGAAGGTGGTTTGAAACTCGTATTTTGCAACTTGTGCCTGCATGATAGATCGCTCGATGGCTGATGTTGCTCGTCTTACACCATTGTCTCGTTTTAGGTTCTGCTTCAAGGAAAACAAGCTTGTCGCGATGGAAGGTACGGCCTACTTGAAGACATTGAGAAGCTGTTTTTGTACCACTTAATGCCTATATACGGCTTGTCAGCGCCTGTTCGCTGACGTTCTATTGAATGGCGTTCCAGCGATCGGTACTGACAGGCCTGTCGACAATGCAACTTTTTCGGCTTTCTCATATGTACTCAACATCCTCAATCCGCTAAATGTCGCTGCATGGGTTCGATCTTTAATTGCGGAAGCAATGGATATCCCTGTAACGTAGTGCTTTTTGGATTTATGTTAGAAAGTAAAAGGTCCGTATGGAAATGCATGATAACTGCATGCTTAACGTACAACCATTGCAACCAGGTAGTTGAAGTGCCTACGCGTGCAATAAAAGACAGGGTTGACAAAAGCTGTAAACTTAGAAGGTTTTGGCGATAACGGCGAACTGTGGATTCACACGGCGTTCGTTTGAATAACACGAAATAGCTAACATGTCAGCATACCCGCGCTGATGCTCGCTGGTGCACTGGTATTTAGCATGTCATATTTGCTTCAATGGCCACTTTTCCCGAATCCCTTGTACTCTTGGTCAAATGAGTGCAAAATTAGTGCAACATGTATTCTCCCGCGCGACACCAGTCCTTTCCATCGGCAATTACTAAAAATCCCCCCCTATCCCGAAGTGCTCAGGCCGTTAAAACCAAGAAAAGACAACTTTGCGTAGCTGGTCACTTTCAAGCAAGTCTATGTTTGTATAGTGCGAACTAAAGTTACGCTGAAAAGAAGCTTTTGTCAGAAGTCTGGTGCGTGACCGTTCCAGGTTCCGTCTAATCGAGCGCTACGTTGATGTCACGCTCCACTGGACCGTTTCATTCTTAGCTGTTTTAGACATGCTGGGCGCCATGCCATTTTTCTCTCTCATTCGGCGTCCGAGGGAAGAACCTAAACATAAGGCCTGGACCTCTCAACTACTTTGAGCACAACGAAATCGAAGTTTACAACAGCCTTGCTTTAAGGGTTGAAATCTCCCATTCATTATTTGTTTTAAAGCCTTTAAATGCTTTTCTGAAATACTTTACTGCGTCAATGTGGCAATAATGGCAATTGCATCCGCTGGTAGAATGTTTTAAAAGGAAAAAAGTTGGTTGCGCGCTGATACGAGTTTCCAGTCTGTTACCACCAAACGTCGAAGCCCGCGCCAAATATCGGGATCCTTGCCTAGCGCTGTCCAATGCTTAGCGAAGTGCCGTTGCTTTTCCAGGCATTTGAAATTACCTATTATTGTTGCGTGGCTAATTGTTCATCAATAGCTTCAATTACTCTTGCTCACAATCATTGCGGCATTGTGTGGTCTGCAATTGCAATGCAACGTTATTGAAATACTCACGTTTACTTGACAGCTAGAGTATAGACCTCTTCACTGCGGGCTATATAGTGCTGTATTCAAAGTTAACTCTCGAACTTTTTGACAATACCTTGAACGTTCTTTTTAGATAAAACGTTTCCAATTGCTTTTAAAAGCATCGTGTCGACACCTCGCATAACACATATCGCATATCGTGTCATCTTACCATATCACTTATCGTGTCTCACACCTCACACATGACAGATGTTTCTGAATGTTTTTTTTCGTTCCTTGTGGATGTAGGGCCTCTGGGTTCTGGGTGGTTGTAGCAGTTTGCAGCAGGCATTAATCACCGCGTGGCTCAGACCCTCGAGATTGCGTTCCTCAGGACGTTATGGTATTGCTGCTGCCTGCGGCTGCCCTGGCACGTCATTTATTAACGTGGACGTTCGTGGCTCGCTGCCCATGTGCCTTGCCGCTCGCTGATCAGAGCAGATCACCGTGTCACCAGTGGCCGATCGTCGGCTGCTCTCGGTCGCTGATCAGAGCAGATCACCGTGTCACCAGTGGCCGATTGTCGGCTGCTCTCGGTCGCTGATCAGAGCAGATCACCGGCCGATCGTCGGCTGCTCTCGGTCGCTGATCAGAGCGGATCACCGTGTCACCAGTGGCCGATTGTCGGCTGCTCTCGGTCGCTGATCAGAGCAGATCACCGTGTCACCAGTGGCCGATCGTCGGCTGTTCTCGGTCGCTGATCAGAGCAGATCACCGTGTCACCAGTGGTCGATCGTCGGCTGCTCTCGGTCGCTGATCAGAGCAGATCACCGTGTCACGGGTGGCCGATTGTCGGCTGCTCTCGGTCGCTGGTCAAAGCAAATCACCGTGTCACCAGTGGCCGATCGCCGGTTGCTGTCGGTCGGAGCTGATCAGATCAGCTGACCTCGCTGATCCGAGCAGATCACCGTGGCACGAGGGGTCGCCGCTTTCGATCCAAAATAACATGCCATGTACCGTATTCGTCTGGTAAAACTGTGCGCTCATTGAAACACTACTACCTGTAGGATATTCCTATCTACCAAGCTTTGTTAAATTTCGTGAGATGCTAAGCGATTTGCGCCAGGCGTCACCCGGTTTGCACACGGCTAGGACCACGGCGATGACTACCAAGTGACTGGTAGCATGGCTTTGGACCGCGTAATAATCTTGACGCATGGCGATTTCCAACGCGTGCCCATGTCAATGCTCCTTGGCAGTTGTTGATAACCATTGACAGTACTGAGCAGAGTCTAGCTGCGAGCCCTTTCAGTGGCGCCGATCGTATGGAACTGTTGCCTGCAGTGATTTAGACTCAGTGCCAAGGGCCGACGCACTCTAGTGGTCTACAACGTGTTAATCGTCACGATGCGTGCCAATTTATCTCCAGCATGGTCTCGAAAGGAACCATACCCAAAAAGAATAACAATAATGAATCGTACAGGTGACCACCAGTCTGTCAGCGGGGCGAAACTGCAGATATTTAGGTTTGGTGTTGCCCCCCCCCCCCCCCCTCCTCCACTACCCTAATTATTTCAAAATATCGATCACACCTTTTATTACAACCAACGATTGCGTTGATCGTGGTGATTATGAAGTTACGTTGTCACTGCACGCAATGTCGTAAAGCGGATAAGGACTTTTACAACACTTGAGAGAAGCAAAAGTGGGAGATATACTAGCAAACAGGCTGTTCTCTACGCTTTTGTCTCGTTCGAAAACTGTTTTAATTCTGAGAGGCGGGTGCCATTTTTTGGGCCTTTTTATGTGAAACAGCAATATTGTATGGCATGGTATCATGCATTTACAAATGGTAGCAAAAATTAAATGGTCCGCCGTTTAGTTGTCTAGTAAACGTCGTTATGTCCAAAACAGTAAGATCATGACGTGAATTTGTGGTCCCTGTTTTTATGTCAAATGACAGTGTACTATGGCATGACAGACATGCACTTAAAGGCTGCAATAGAGAAAACTTTACTTTCTAGCTATTTAGTCCGTCTGTAACAGTGTGTCATTTGTTGAATTTGGTCAGCCCTTAGCCACTTGTGCAAAGAACATAGTTTTGAAACCGTTATCCTTTCTGCCGAGCCATGTAGTGAACTGATGATGTTCTTGGATTGGTGCATGATAAGAGCACGCTATGACAACGACTGTTTATTATTTGTAGCCGGCCGATACCGTATATTCGGCGTTGCATGAGGTGGGCGCGTCAATTATTTATGCTGGCGTTTCTGTCGTACCTTGTACATGTAAAGGGTATTTTATGCGGCCGCCATTTGTCACAAATTAACATCTAGCTTGTCAAAGTTAAGTTTCGTTCCTCCTTTATCGGGCCGAAAGAGGCTGGACTTGCACGTCAGTGGCACTGTGCACGAGCCCCAGAATGTGGGCTGGTTTGGCTCAGCCGACGTGAAGAGATCGTCTGGCAGCTGGCCAAAGGGCATGGGCTTAACTCAGGCCTGCAATGTCGTTACCGTTTGAACAAAATCTGGGCTCAATTTTTTATGAACCCGAGAAGCAAAACGTTGCGGTGAACTCGAGGAATATGCAGCATGCCATGCCAAGCAAGTATCCAAATCAAAAATGGCCCGCGAAAATCATTTGAAGTATATTTGCAACGAAAAAAGACCTTGATTCCATACCGTAGATACAGTTTATTGCTGTGTTGAACGAACGTTTTTGACTAACATCTCACCATCAATTCGCGATAAGAGATGGGTGTGCAAGTGGCTGTGTATGAGCCAGTTGTATTGTGTGTTTGTATAGTTATGAGCCAGTTGTATTGTGTGTTTGTGTTCTCGTGGCGAGATGGCGCGCTCCCGATGTACCTCCTCTGCCTCGCCTCCGCCTCAGCCCGAGCCTTGTCCCTTCCGCGTTCCCCTGCGCCGATCCTGTGAACATTTACACTAACAGGCACTAACCGCTCGCTTCACCGCAGTGCACTTAGAAAGCGCTTGCAGCGTTGTTGTCTCACATTGCTGTCATAGTCATCGTGCAAACGATATTCGCACCGCACATTTCGGCTATTTTATGTAGTTGACAGAAACCGTCTGTTTCCAGCTTTGTTGCCAGGTTAGCATAAAACAATATCGGACATCGACATTGACACCTAGCCTAATTTTAAAGTCATGTGGATTGTACACCGGCCTGTTTTGGGACTTAACGGTCGCGACAGTGGAAATTGCTCTTGTAAAGCGTCCGCAGCTTTCAACTGCGAGGGTCCCATTTTAACGCCTGTGGCTCATGGAGTAGGTGTTTCCGTTTAGAAAGTTTTTGTGCTGCCTTCGTTCTCAAAATTCAGGACTGCTGGTTCTCATTCTCAGCTGAATCAGTGGAGATCCGCTACCGCGCGGGCCTTTAGGGCGTCATGTTACCGCAGGCGTCATTTTCGTTGTTTTAATTTCTCGTCGGTTGAGGACGGAGCCGGGCATAAATTTTGCATATACTCTGTCCATTTAGAGATGAGGAATGAAGACTCAGCAAGCTCAAACATGAAAGTGACCTGCTGACTCAGATTCCACCCTTAGGAAAAGAGAAGCTTTGATCTTTGAAAAGGGATCTTGGGATCACATGATTAATATCCACTAAGCACACAAAGCTTTAACTAGTTGTAGAAGCATAGGGTGTACCAGTAAGTCTCGCTTACACGCAACCTCACCCCTAAGCTTACTCAAATTTCGCCGGTATAGGGGCGAAGTGCCACCAGTGGGCGTAAGTCTTACTTGTATGCACGACTTTCACCAGCATCTGTAATCGACGGGTCCTGCCAAGGTGCGACCAGCTCACCATTAGGCAGTAGGTGGCGCCGCACCGCGCAGAACATACCGCGCCGCACGCGAGCCTCCCGCACACGGAACAGACCCTGACCCCTCCCCCCATCCCGCTCTTGCAGCAGAAGACCGAAACTGATGCGCTGCTTTCGCCGCAGTTTTGCGTGCACGCCGACAAGCGCAAAATGCTCGAAGAGCTGACGCGCGCGCTGCCGGACAAGCCGGGTATGGCCAACGTGCTCACAGAGCTGGCCGGCTGCATAGCCTCGGCCGTGAACGCCGACTTTCAGAGGCTGTACCTGGTGGAGAAGCGCGATGGTCACGTGCACAGCTACGACCCGGAGACCCAGCAGGTGACCAACACATACCCCATCGGGCCGGGCACGGTGCTGGCGGCGCACGTGGCCGCCACGCGACAGCCGCTACGCATCAGCGTGCCGTTCGTCGATCCCGACAAGTACCCGGAGGGCGTCGGCGGCAGCACGGTGAGTGGTCCGGCGACGTCGGCTCTGGCCGTCGGTGGCAGCTCAGCGGATTTGCTCGCGGCGATATTATTCAGATTCGTCGAATGTTTCTAAACTGGTCCTCTACATGAGTCGCTGATGAGTGTCATAGCTTTAAGGCATGGTTGCTGGCGTCCCTTGATAAGACTGATGATAGTTCCATGAATAAATAGGCACAGATATTTTAGCAATGAACTTTCCGACCGTTAGATGATGCGGGTGAAACGCCATATTGTCTTAAACAGTATTTTCACAAACTCGGCTTTTACCTTATTTGCATATTGGTAAAGGAGAACAACAAGCTTGGCTATCAACGAAGTACGCAGAACATAACCTACCCGTGCTACAAAGGCAATGGCAGACACAAAGGGTCCAACAAGGCATGGCTCCACCCATGATGATGGAAAAGCATATCCACTTTCCTTTAGGGCCGCCCCGATGGCTCAGTTGATTCGAGCGTCTGCATCCGATCCACCCGCCCGCGGCGAGTGGGTTCAAGTCGCGTAAAGGGAGTTTTCCACATTTTGTGCCATGTTTTAGACTGAAGCAGCCATATTGAAAATCTTTTGCTGCAGTTCACAGACCTCTAGTTTCTGAGCCACACACCCGCGAATATGTGCACACCATTTCGGGGAGACTACTTCAAGGTCACCCAGGCCTCCATGACTTCATAATGACGTCATTCAGATCCTGCCATTCCATTAGCCATGCGGTGATCAACACCAAAAAAATACAATTGCCGAGTTCATATCTGACGTTTGTGAGCACGATTTCCAAGTATAACGGCCGTCAATCGACTATCGATCAGTGTTGTGTAAGACACGACGGCGTAACAAACAATGACATATTAACAGGCATATTTACTAAACAGAGAGATTGTGTTGCCTGGAGCAGTCTTTTCAACTTAATATACGTAGATTCCACTTCCACTTAGAGCAGGCTTCCACTAAGAGTAGTCCTTTCCACTATTAACACTTAAAGGTTAGCCTATTGGATCATATCTGGTGTTTGCTTCAACATCTTCAAATGTGGAACGCTCCCTTAAGGCGCTCGCTGGCCTGCGGCCGGCGGCAGCGGCCGCCCTAAAATGTCAAATGACGTCAGAGAGCGCGACGGACCGTGCCGAGCATTGCGGTACGCTAGACTTACGCCTCTAAATTCCACCGTTGATATGGAACTGCGTGATCGGTTGGAAGGTGTCAGAGCTCACGCAACAAGCACTGCTAAGCGCGAGCTTTTTGGTCACTAAAATTTAGCGAGTTAATTATTTTGGAATAGATATCTACCACAGGCTCCTGTTATGATTAACTGGTGCGGTTTTCGCAACCGGACCCCGTTGATATCCGATCTTTGATTAACCCTCGCACAACCTATTTCAATGAATAACGCCACATCTTTGGAGGTGAGAAACAGCTGATACATTGTGGGTGAAACAGGCGCAGCGCCTGCGCGTCTCCTTCAAAACTGATTATGCCACCGGTCCTAAAAATGCGAGTAGGAGGCGATATCTTCGACCCGTGTGTCGACGCTGGTGTGAGTGTGTGCGGGCATGTCCGTTCTCGACGACCGAGAGCAGCGAGAGCGTGCTTGGCAGCACGGACGCGTCGGTGGCCGGGCAACAGGCCGTCGCTCTGGCCGGGCACGGACGCGTCGGCTGCCAGAGTCAGACGAGAGCCGTCGCTCTGGCCGGGCACGGATGCGTCGACTGCCAGCGGTCGCCCAGCAGCTGACCTAGCGCGCGGCGGGCCCGCCATGCCCTGCAGGAGGGGGCCGAGCACGTGATGGCGCAGCCGGTGCACCTCTCGGACGGCGACCTGGTGGCCGTGATGGAGCTCTACCGCAGCGGCCCGCATCCCTTCTACGAGGAGGACGAGGAGATCGTCAACAGCTACATCGTGTGGGGCGGCATCGCGCTGCACTACGCCGACCTCTACCACACGCTCAGCGACCAGCGCAAGGTCCACGACTTCATCCTGGACGTGACCAAGTGAGACGCGCCGGGAGGCGAAGGGAGATATAGTGAGTCAGGTGCGGTGCCAGATAGGACTGAGGGTGCCTCTTGCAGCGGCGGCGGCAAGCTTTGAGGGATATGTGGGGAGTCACGTTTGGTGCCAGCTAGGACTAAGGGTGCCTCTTGCGGCGGCGGCGGTAAGCTTTGAGGGAGATCTGTGTCTTGAGGGAGTTGGTGGGGTTTCGAGGGAGTCTGCGTATCAGCTGGTGGAGATGCCAGTGCGTCAAGCACGGCAGCTGACCAAGTCGGTATGTACGACACGCGATTTATCCGATTCTCTATCTTTTGCCACCGCCTTCTTCTCTCTTCTCTCTCTCTCTCTCTCTCTCTCTCTCTCTTCTCCCTCTCTCTTCTCCTCTCTCTCTCTCTCTCTCTCTCTCTCTCTCTCTCCTCTCTCTCTCTCTCTCCTCTCTCTCTCTCTCTCTCTCCTCTCTCTCTCTCTCTCTCTCTCCTCTCTCTCTCTCTCTCTCTCTCTCTTTCTCTCTCTCTCTCTCTCCTCTCTCTCTCTCCTCTCCCCTCTCTCTCTCTCTCTTCTCTCTCTCTCTCCTCTCTCTCTCTCTCTCTCTCTCTCTCTCTCTCTCTCTCTCTCTCTCTCTCTCTCTCTATGTCTCTCTCTTTCTTTTTTTTCTCTCTCTCTCTCTCTCTCTTTCTCTCTCTATCTCTCTATCTCCCTCTCACTCTTTCCCTCCATTTCTCGTTTTTGGTGAGGTTCCATATCTTGATCTAACTCGCTTTCCGATGCTGGCCACCCCCCCCTTACGCGTCCACGCCCGCCCTTGTGCCCTGCGCCGCCCCGCTGCTTCTGACCCGCCCCCGCGCCCCAGCGCGCCTCTGGAATCCCGCCCCGGTGCCCCCGTCCCGTCCTACCGGCCTCCCCCGCCACTGCGCCCCGCCCCTCTGGCCGTCCGGGTCGTCCTGAGCCTTTCCGGTGTCTTGTTGCAGATCAATCTTCCAAGACATGGTGTCCATGGATACGCTGATCACAAAAATCATGAACTTCGCCCAGAGGCTGGTGGCGGCAGGACAGAGCCTCACTCTTCCTAATGGACGGGCGCACTAGAGAGCTGTACGCCCGCATCTTCGACATGGGCAACGCCAACGGAGATTCGAGCCCACAAGCGCAGGAGATCAGGTGCGTGGGGCGCGAGCCCTCCTAACAAGCACATGTGGTCGGGTGCGTGGGGCGCGAGCCCTCCTAACAAGCGCGGGAGATCAGGTGCGTGGGGCGCGAGCCCTCCTAACAAACGCAGGAGATCAGGTGCGTGGGTCGCGAGTCCTCCGAACACGTCAGGAGGCACAGGGCCTGGAAGGATTGGACCCCTCCAGAACACTTCAGGGGAGAACGCGGCACAGCACATGATGTGCCGTATCCCAGAAATAAGGCACAAAGGTACCGCAACCGAGA